GATTGATTTCCTAATATAAAGATTTAAAAATAAAGTTGTGTTGTGGTTTTCTTTAGTTATTGGACAAAACGCGACTCGCCAGCTGACGACCAGTTCTGAAAATTTAGTCGCCAGTGCTCAATTTTTGGTCGCATTGGCGTCCAGTGAGTCGCAATTTTGAGCCCTGTTGAACCACAGACGTATAAAAACCTATAAAGAGCTGTAAAACTGATTTTTGATCATACGGACTAGAAAAACATTTGGTTACGTTTTAGAGATTTTAAAGTTTTTGAAAGCGATTGCATTCTGATAAACGAAATGTGAGAATTTGGGCTGTTTATCCAATTTGCATAATATTTCAATCGGGTCAAATTACGACTAAAAGTTAATTCCACAAAACTTGCAGATATTAAACTATGAGGAATGACATAAGAACTCAGATTTTTGTAGTTTTTCAGACGAACATAATTCAGACTGAATGGGGCCTCACGATCTTTCACGACACCACTGCAAAATGTGTAGATTAACATGTGGCTTGAATAATCGACATGACATTTGAGATGACACATTGTGCATGATAGAATTATTTCTCATAAATGGAATAAAAACAAAACTGACAACAAATCTTTTTTGCATAGTATTGTGGCAGTATAATAAAATAACTTGTTTTATGTTCAGTCACAAATTTCTGGTTAAAATATTTTTCATTTAGTAGAAATGCCCGGTCAGGGTGTCCGACCAGACTAAGCTTTTACCTGTCAAAACCCCAAAATTACCGGACAATTGTCCGATGACTGACTGTTATTTGCAGGCTTGGTACTGTACAATCTTGGAGCATAAAAATATTAGATATCAGATAACACATGTGGTGTTTCCTTGTTGTTCCCGCTAATGAGTTTGATTAATTTTTTCATTTTATATTCTATTTTTCAAATGATTTTATGGTTCAACTAGTGTAAATTAAGTTTCAAACTGTAAATTGATTCAAAACTAGAAATCTTTCAGTTGTATTAATGCTGGAAGACAAGCGAAAAGATAGACTGCAATGGTTTCATACAACATTTTGGATGCCCGGCACTCTGGTGACGGAGTAATTCTATTGGTCGGTCTATGAAGTTATGATGCACATCTGTTAGTAACCTCTATAACTGACATTCATCACATGCCAAACTCTGTTGTAATATTTGTCTCCTACAGTGTGACTCCTACAGTTCGTGAAATTTGCCGCCCTATTTTGAAGGTTGATCTTTCGACCTTTCTATTAGTTTTATGCTTCACACTTGTTTTTGAAGGACTGTGGTACAAGGAGAACTTTAAAGTAGAGTACAGCGGTTTGACCGAGTAGTATGAAAGTTTTTGAGAGGTCATAGGCCTGGTTTCAGCTGCAATCTTTCAAACCATTCATCATATCTTACCAGATACAGCTTCGATAGCCTCATGGAAAAAATTAGACACAGGAGTGTCATATTCCAAAAAGGACAGAGGTGTCATTGATGTGACCTGTCAAAGTAGCATCCAAAATGTTGTATGAAACCATTGCAGTCTCTCTTTTCGCTCACCTTCCAAAGCCTGTGCTACTAGCAGTTCGTGGCATCGCTCCTCACACATCACGCTCACAGTCATGCTTGCACATTTACTTGTTTTGCATTCTTCCCCACAGATTTTCTGGGAAAAGAGAGACTGCTCCCAGTTTATTTGGACCCCCAAAATTAAACCTCATTTCAGGGCAAAAAATTTTTATGGCCTGACCACTTTTTACCTCGCCCAGTTATCCCCATAAATAATGAACCATCCATGAATTTGATCACTTTTGTCACTTATGCCAGTGGTCTCATTGTATTGTTCTTTTACGGCAGTGCAACCTTCGCCAGTAAACCTAAGATGAGACCTTGTTTACCATGTGACGTGAACATGACCACTCAAAATTAAAGTTGTATATCCCTGTCCTCAATGTGACCTGCACAATATATGGAATGCTAGAACTGTAAAATGTCCTTTATTTTGATATTTGATTTTCTGCCAACAGGGTGCCAGTTCGACCAGTTGTCAACAACAGGGGGCCTCCTCTTGATGACGATCTGGAAACAGAAGCCGCAGTACTTGCAAACTTTGACTTTCTTCAAAATGATGTAGAAGATGAAGAAGACAATGATGATGAATTAGATGATGGCGGCAGCGCTGACGATGAATCTGAGGACAGAGATGATATAAGACTTGGGAGAAGAATGGGCAAGAGGGCCAAACCAGGTAGGTTAAACTATAGGTCAGTTAATTGATTAATTACAATTGATTAACAACAAATTGCAGGAAAGGTGGATCTGTGATGGCTAGTCAGGGCCCTTTATTGAGATTGAGTTGGGATTTGGAATATTTGGATTTGAGGAGGAACGAAAACCATAGTGCAGGAGGAAAAAACTTTGGAAGAAGCCATGAGCAAATGACAAGCTGCAATTGAACTTGTACCCCTCCCCCCTCTGTCCTTGGTGGTAGAGAAGGGCTGAAAACCTAATTTTACATAAAACACCATTTACAGCTAATCAGACAAATTTTGTCTTAAGTCCACTAATGGTGTTACTTGTCAACATAGATGATAGAGGGGAATGGTTAATACACTGTATGAAACCAGACAAAGGTCTTTGGTCCTTGTTTTTGTTTGCTTTTTTGACCTTGACTGTGCACAATACACAATAGTTGTTTACGTCTGACTGAGGAACCAACCAATAGAAACGTTTCCATTATGTAATTCATGCATAATGTATGAGCGCAAAGCAAAGGATTGTGCACAGTCGTGAACATTCCAATGTAAATCTAGCCATCTTTGTTTGCTCCTTTGATGTTTGGCGGGCTTTATAACCATTCCCCTCTAATAACTATGTTGAAAATGTACATCCTTTGGTTGTATTGAAGCCCTGTGCAACAGATAGATTAGTATAACTAAAGGAGCCTTTCATTGATTTTGCAAAGAATTAAATAAAGATGCCGTAGAAGAAATGCTCACCGCAGATGACGAGACAGCTGATGCACTTGCTGAGTTTGATTTCGTAATAAATGACGACTCTGGTTCAGAAACTGATGTCACAGTGATTGAGGTCCAGGGAAATGTTGAAGTGTTAGAAAATGTGGACATTGCCATGCCAGAGGAAGCAGATTATTCTGTGACACAAGGTATGATTGTTACAAATGATGTGTGAATTATTTTAGGGAGGCAAACTACGGTGTTGTTTTAACAAAATGGCACAAGTTAGTGTACAGCATGAAAAATTGGTTGTCTTTTATTATTCCTCTGTGCCTCTTGAGGAGAGTTTTTCTCTTTTTTTTTTCATTAAAAAAGTCAAAGTCTTAGTTAAACTCATTGCCAATTGATCAGCTTGGGAAATGTGCCTAAGGAATGGTGGAGCCAGGTGAGATATGAGCCTTCAAGCAGAGCAAGCAGGTATCCATGGCAACCCTGGGAGCAGCAACCACCAGGTGCCATCACACTGACACAGTTGAAATACTTACCACCCATATACTAAACCATTACCAATAAAAGGGAGGGAGGTGAGAGAGCAAAAACATGCTACAAGCATGAATGGCACTCAGAGCAAACTGCACATTCTTACAAAGCCAGCAAGTAAACAACATACATGTACCCCATATGAGACCCCACAGAGCATGGCTGCCCTGAAAGGTAGCTGATCAGCATTGGCTCAAGTCAAACTTTTCCTAAACTACATTTAGCTACATTAAAAATAAAAAAAAAATGATATGAGATGTTGAGTCCAAGATTCCTTAGATGTATTTATTTATTTACTTTTTGTTTTAGACACCAGAGATGGATCCAGCAACCAGGTTAGTGAGTTCAAGATGTAATGTTTGTTGTTGTGGTAAACAATTTTGCTTTGACTAACCTAAGATACAGTGAGCCTTAGAAAACCAGCAACTTAAACATGTAACCACTGGTAAACCTATTAATATGCATTGTATCTGCTATGATTGCTTTTTGATTGTCTTTTAGGATGAGTGGGGAGTTGATTCAAACTTGCTGGCAAAGTTAAAAGAGCAGTACAAGAAAGAGAGAAAAACCAAGAAGAGCCAGAAAAGTGAGAAGTGTATTTATTTACACGTAGATAAAGAGGGTGCCCTTACTAAATAAACGTTTTCCTTTGCCTGATCGATTTTCAATTCAACAGAAAAATTAGTTAGGAAACAGAAAACATTTACCATATTTTGATTGAGTTATAGAAACCTGAGTGGACATTTGGGAGAATGAATGTTTCTGTAACTCGATAGAAACATGGAAAACATGTTTTCTATTTTCTTTTAACTTTACTCTGATCATCAAAATGTAAATTCTCTTTACTTGCACCATCATTACATCAACAGCTCATGCTAGTTCTGGGTTTCTATGGAGTTATATAGAAACATGATTTTAAAGTAGTTGCCACACATATTTCCTTTGGGCTATTTGCTAAAGGCTGATGATCAATGTTCAGCTTAAAATGCCACTGTGATGAAATTCTTGATATCCATTTGTTTACATTTTTGTACACAATAGGTCCTTTCTAGATATCTTGCCAGATTTCAATCTGTTACCAACATTAGAATTCGCAGTTTTTGGGTCTTTATTTCCGAACATTTACAGCTGCCATTAATTTTCCTTGTTCCAAGTCTTGGTTGAGAATTTGAGAAAATGATGTCATTTTCTCAAAAATACCATACAGTCGTAATTCTAGTAACAATCAATGTAGAAAATTGCACGAATATATGAGCCAAAGTTTTTGTTAATAATATTCTCTGTGCAAATTGCTGTAGTAATTGTTATTAGAAGACTTTCAAGCAGGGCAAAAACTGAGCGCACAGGATGATCTATTTACTTAAACAAGAACAGTGGCAAACAATTGTGATTTCCAGCTGTGATATAGTTCCTTAACATCAGTTATTTTCTTTTACCACAGGACCACCAAGATCGGCACTACAAGCCATGCTTGCGAATCTTGAAGGGGAAGATGAAATGCCTCCACCCGCACCTGCCCCCAACATCATAAACGTTCCTCCGCCTGTGAGACTGAGTGGATCCCGTGCCACCTCCGAGATCCCACCCATCGCTAGTGTGTCTGTACCTGGGAGTTCAGCTACTGGGGGCAAAGGAGCTGCAGCCCCACCCATTGCCACAGCAGATGAGCCCTTTGAGAGTGCTCTTGGTCTGGGTGAACTGGCAAGTCTTACAGTTACCAACGAAGCAGAAGCTCTCTCTTATGAAGTGAGTGTTACAGATAAAAGCCTCAAGAAATTCAGGCTTTTAAAGATTGAAGCCCAGGTCTTCCAACATTCTTATCTCCAGAGAACACAATCCCAACCTTTTGGCCAGCACCCAGTTCCATTTTTTTTCTGCAGCTTATTTTTAATACAGTAGTTAGCCAATCACATTTATGCAGAAGTGCACGTCCAATCGCAGACCGCTTTCAAATTGGAAGAAGTCAGAGATCGTTATTTTCGGTTCCAGCCTCAGGGTACACAAGTGAAGCAGTAAAGGAAGAAATGGACTGCAATCCTTTAGTTCCTACATAACCTCATTTTTTTTCTTTTTTTTTTTCTTTTTTCACCTGCATATTAAATGTGCCATTCATTTTGTACATGCATTATTAGATGCATTATTCTAACAGCACATGAATAATAATTATCAACCAGTCGTCATTTGCCTCGTAGCTCGGTGGCAGAGCATCACAAAGGTCATCATTTCAAATCCCCTCTAAGCCTGTAGTGTTTTCAAGCTTTCCTTTCATCCCAAAGCTATGTAATATGAGGGCAATGTGTTTCTAACTTGATGTTGTTTTCATTAGGTAAGCACAAAGGAGGAGTTTAGAAAAACATGGAGCCCAAAGTTCACATTGAGAAGGTATTTGCATAATATACCTTTTCGGTTTAATTTGCTACACTGTACTTCAAATTAATGTTAACTTTATGGTTGTTTTTGTTTTTCCTAGTCATTTTGATAGCATCAGGTCAATATACTTTCACCCAACTGAATCAGCTCTCATAACAGCCTCTGAAGATCACTCACTTAAATTATGGAACCTTCAGAAGACTGTACCACAGAAAAAGTAGGTACACATTCACACATTTGAGTACCACACCATGTGAGAATCCTATATTTCAAACTTCAGAGGAAGTGGTCGGGGTTGAAGCCCTTTCCCCCCTGGAGTGTAAATGGATACCAGGGAAATGTTTGGGAAACTGACAATTGCCAGAGGTGATTGGGGGGGGGGGTGTTATCTGCAAAGGATTAGTATCCCCATCAAGGGAGGAGTGGAGTGGCAGTGCCTTGAGTGGTTTCTTGTTATAGACACTAAGGTAACCTCCAGGTGTGTTTATGGCTTTGGCTTGAGCACCGGCTGTTCCTTTTCATTGTCAGCTTAGAAAGGGTTTGCTAGCAGGGTCATCATCATCATCATTCCCTTATGCCCCCCCCCCTGGGGGGGGGGCATAGGGTGTCAACCAGTCCGGACAAGGGTACCCATAATGATGATGCTTTGTGTATTTGTTCTTGCTAATATAGTGTGTTTTCTCTCAGGAGCAGTATATTAGATGTGGAACCAATTTACACTTTCAGAGGACACAGGTGTGTTATGCCATTTTATCTCTCTCGAGAATGCCACGTTTTTCATCAAAATTGAAAATGGGCCAGTGAAATGTTGATTGAACTCGCCTGTTTGTATTGCGTGGGGAAGTATGGGTCTTTTCCTTCTTTTGCAAGTTTATGGACCTTGCCTTAAGCAGGCATATGGACTTAACTGTACAGCCTTCATCAACATTATCACACCATGCCAATTACATGGATTTCATTTGATTCATTTCCTGGAATATTTAGACGGGGAACTTTTTGAAACGTCTAACAAAATCTAAGAAGTAAAGATGTTTCTTTATGTCGTAATTATCCCTTTTGCCCACCTTTGATTAGAATGGAAGGCAGCTGGCAAGTTTTAGCCACGCCAAAAATCTAACGTGTTGAATTATTTAAGAATCGATCTCGTCATTAATATACCTCCTTTGGTGTGCACACACAAAAATAAGCCCTAACTTAGTTAGTTTTGCAATTTATCAGGTGCTTTAATTGTTGCTGCGAGTGCTCACACTTCGATTCTACCACTACTACAAATAGTTAACCTTAATTCAGTGTCATTTCTCATGGTTAAGCCAAATTGTTCGTGTGGTCTTTGACATTTTACTGTCACTCTCTTTTCACCATGTTGTTGTTGGTCCACACTGATTTAAAATGTAGATTAAATTCCGATAATACATGTGCCATCTTTTTTTCTTTCCAGTGCTCCTGTCCTCTCGGTTGTGATCAACTCTACCAGTGAAATGTGTTTCAGTGGCAGTGCTGACTCGACCATTATCTGTTGGAGTATTCCTTCTCTTGATATAGACCCTTACGGTCCTTACAGTGAGTTTTGAGTCATTTACAATAAGTTGTTAGGAATTACATGTGGCCTCTTTTGGGTTGTCACGCAATGCTTCTTTCCAGTAGGAAGGAGCGTTGTGTGACGGCTGCAAAAGAGTATTCCTTCTCTTGATATAGACCCTTACGGTCCTTACAGTTAGTTTTTAGTCAGTTACAATAAGCTGTTAGAAATTACATGTCGTCTCCTTAGGGTTGTCGCGCAACGCTTCTTCCCAGTAGGGAAGAAAGTTGCGTGACACCCAATGTTAAAATCGATTGCATGTTGAATTCGAACAATAACGCGTTGATAACAGTGAAGGAAACCTTAATAAATAGAGTTTCTCAAAAAATAACAGTTTGGTAAGATTCGTGGCCAAGGTTGGGGACAGGGACGCCTAAAATGTGCACGTGCGTTATAAATCTTTGAGCATTTTTTTGCCGTCCTCTGCAAAACAGCAACGTGAAATGAAGGTTCTGCGTAGTCTGAGGAACGCGAACGGCGACGGCTAATTTTTCGTATTTCCATTTGGTATTGAACGCTGTCATTGCATATTTAGCCCTGACACGTTTTTAGAGCCATTGACATACTGAACAGATCTAGACAGTTGCGAATTTCGCTGGTAAAATATAAATTCAGTTTTGACTATGTGTCGTCCTAGGCGTCGCCGTCGTCTGCGTTGCTTAAGCTCACTACTATGTCGATTGTTGGGTCAAACAGACGCGATTCTTTAGGCGTTTGATTCTCCTTCCCCTCCCGCGGGATACGATGGAGATTCGACCCGGAAAAACTCCCATTCTAGTGACGTAGCTCTACAGAGATCTGTCTCTGATTGGTTGGTGCTCGTTGTTTGAATTTTCCCGCGCATTCAACAACCAATCAGGGACACGACTCGGGTCTCTGTAGAGTTACGTCATCAGAATGGAATTTTTCGGGTCCAGTCCCACTTGTGTCTCGAGTGGAGAATAAATCCTGTTCAAGATAAAGAGCCGTTCGTGATATACTCAGTAATCTAGGCGTCCTTTTGACTTTTGACTAATTTTTTTTTTTTTTCAGATTCGGAAAACCTCAGTGGCGTCCTTGTAGCGCATACAGACGCAGTGTGGGATCTGGCAGTTCAGACTGGTTCACTACAGTTGCTTTCCGCTTCTGCAGACGGCACGTGTCGGCTTTGGAGTCCCACATTAAAATCACCCCTACTAAATAGCTACACTCCACAACAAGGCAAGTACAGAATTTGCTTGCAAACTCAATCTTAGCAGGGTTGTAGAAAGCCCATTTTTTTCACAGGTTTATTGACATTTAATTACACTCCTGAAAAAAGTTAAGTTACTAAATACAGTGGAACTGAGTACAACAGATCAATTCATCCGGACAGGTTGTTAAATCTAACCCAGGATTAAAAGTTAACGGAAGTGTTGATTTTTCTTGTTTAAAAATGTTTTTCGCTGCTTACATTTTGTGTAGTTTGAAATAATTCAAACTCAAAACTGAAGGACAAATATCAACAAAAGCCTCACCGAAAAGTTACAAAACTGAAAATCAAAATTCTAGCTAGTTCTGGGTTAGCTTAAATGGGCTTTGAACAACCTGGCCGCGAAGTTTAAAAAAAACTAACAGAAATCTGAAAGAAGAAGAAAACAGTAAGAGCGAAAAGAAGAATAACTTTGGTTTCATATCGGTATTTGAGATAGAAATTTAGCGATAGTAAAACCAAAACTCCATGTCGCCATTATCAAGTTCGAAGTGATAATGGTGACATGGAGTCACCGAAACGTCGTTCGGTTTCAACTATAGCTGATTTTTATTCTCAAATGTTTTGCAAAAGCATATCGGTATTTGCCTGTGACTGAAATGCTGCACAGTTTTTTAAAGATGGTGCGATTATAAAGGTTGCAACTTCTCATTATGGATTTTGTGCTTGTATTTCGACGGTTTCTGCCACTGAAATACCATGTCTGCTTTTTGTTACTCTTTCACTACCATGTCAAAAATGTTCCAATACATTGGAAAGTGGAAGAAGTTTTACTGTGACTGCTTGTCTCGCGTGGAATTAATTACATCTTTTGTTGCAAAAAAAAAAAAAAATAGACACACTCGATGCTTTCAAAAACTATCTTGGGAATAGTAATTTTTAAAAGATCAGCAGCTTTTGAATCATTTTATCCTGCAACATTATACGAATGTTGAAATCTTGGGTTTTCTAAGTTTTAGTAATTTTTAGTTTTTTTGGTAATACGGTCAAACCTCTCTGCAACGGCCACCTAGGGGACAGATGAAATTGGTCATTGTGGAGAGGTGGCCGTTGTGGGGAGGTTGGGGTGTAACAGGAGACCTGTTTTTTTTTGGGGGGGGGGGGGTATAACATTTTAACATTTAAAAAAATGTTGACTGTAGCATAGAAATACCTAACACAATCAAATTAAAATGGCTGCCGTATCGCCGAAAAGGTCCTTTCTACTTATGAACCTTGGGTATATAAGACTTCATAACGCGGAGGGCAACTACTCAGACTAGAATTGGTTACTTCGTCTTGTATCAGTGAAATCTTCCTAACTGTTGTCACCTTCCTCTACAGAAGGTTATGGTGTTCCCACATCGATCGATTTTGTCCGCACGGAAACGTCACAGATGGTCGCTTCTTATTCCTCTGCTCAGTGTGTTATTTATGACCTAGAGACAGCAGCGCCAGTAGTCGCACTGGACAGCGCCAAAACGTACAGTAAGTATGCGTGTGATTCGCTCTCCTCGTAGTATCCATAGATTGGTATGTGAGTGATGGCTTTCAAATTTCTCGTGTGAAACAGTCGCGGCGGCTCGTCCATACGACGCTGGAGAAATGTGAAACGGTGTTTTCACTCTGAAAACGCATCAAATGTTCTCCGTCCACACTACGCTGGACAAATTTCAAAACGGAACACTCTCCGGTCATTTTGGATTTGTGTTTGAGGAAAACTCGATCAGGCAAATCACATGATTATTGTGACGCCATCGTTTGCGAAAAGTTCAGTTTTCAAAATGGTTTTGTCCACGCGAAAACGAAAACCCGGCGTTTTCAAATTCCTCCGGTTTGAAGAGCGTTTTCAAAAAGCTCTGTTTTCGTGACGGATTAGTGTGGACGGTAGGCCTAACCGTCGAAATCTCTCCGACGTAGCGTGGACGGGGCGTGAATTTTTTTCATAGGAAACGGTATTGTTTGGCTTCATGGTAGCGAAAGCATCCAATCTGGGCAAAGTTCCTAATAGGCAAAGTAAACATGTTCTAGCGAGACAAACAAACTGCAAAACAACGTCGCTGGCAGAAACCGTGTGTTCAGCTGAACACACGAAATAGACATACTGGAATAGACCATACTTGTTATCTCGGTATTGGACTGGAATGAGCTTGCAATGGAGGCTCAGGTAGGAGAGTATCATTAAAAAGAGATTAATGTCATTTACATTTGAAAAACTCCCCGCGTTAGCTTTAGTTGCATGCTAGTTCCAGTCTAATACCGAGAATACAAAAATGGCCTAATACTGTTCTCTGACTATATATCGCGCCTCAACCCCCTCCTCTCCAAAACGTCGTTTCTCTTTAGTTATCTAGTCCAAGCAGGGGCATGGCCAGGATTTTTCAAAAGGGAGGTCACACTCCGTCANTAAGAATTTTAGGTTTTGTTTATACTTCACTTGAATATCCATACATCTTACACAGGGGCGTAGCAAGGATTTTTCAAGGGGTTGTCACACTGTGTCAAAGTGAGGGTACTCACCAGATTGCCATGTTATTTTCGCCACCTGTTGTAGGCTGTTTGCTTAAGAAAGGCTTACAAAAAGGAGTGGGGGACGGGCACCCCAGGACCCCCCCTTAGCTACGCTCCTGCCAAGAGGTCATTTCGCCGGTTTTTACAAGAATACATCTCTTTGTCTTTGCAGATAATTCACCGTCGACTCAAATTAACAAAGTAGTTAGCCACCCCACCCTCCCCCTCACAGTCACAGCGCACGAAGACAGACATATACGCTTCTTTGACAACAACACAGGTGAGATCTGTAAAAAATACCGTTATTTGTTGTCTGTGATTGGTGGAATTCCACTAGTGTACTAATGAAAATAAGGGTTGTCACACGTCAGATAAAAGTCAGGGAATTTTATTTTGAGTCAGGAAAAATTGACATTTTGAGGAAAAGTCTGGGAAAATTGAAATAATCTAACACGGCTGATTTAATACCATTTAAGGTGGAAGAAACATTTGGGATCACGGTGATCTCAACGATAGTTTTTCCTTAATCGATAGTGGAGAAGCAAACTTTGTTGAAAACTTATCCGTGTCAATGAACGGGTAGAAAGGACGGCTGTATGTTCACGCGAGAAGCCGCTACTAGATCTGATATCTTGTATTTTCTGGTATTTTTTGCTATTTTTATCAGGGAAAAGTCAGTGAATTTTGAAAAGTGATTTCTGTGGCAACCATGGAAAATGCTGCACTCTGACTGGCTGAGTTATCACACACTATCAAGCCGTTAAGTTTGCGGTGACTTGATGCGGTCAGCAAAATGGCAACGTTTTTTCGTTTTTCCGAAGTTTTGAAGAGATATTTAGAAACATGGATAAATGTTTTTCTGAGAAGACTAAAAGAAGGACGGTTACGGTTTTTTGAATTTAAAAAACTCGAAATTGAAAAAAAAAAACAAAAAAAAAACTGATAAGCGTGTGCACACAACTGCAAATTTCAAATGAAAACTCAGTCTGCGCGGTTTTTCTGAAGCGCGATGTTTATTACTAATACGATAAATTATTGGAAACCGCGATTTGAAAAAATTGTTAGTCAGAATTCTATTAAAACAATTGATTATTAGTTCTCGATTTCTATGCGGTGATAGGTAATTCGGCCTTCGGCCTCATCTGCTATCACCTCATAGAAATCTCGAGCTCATAATCTAATTGTGAATTTAAAAAAACCGCAGATACTACGCGCGCTCTGGTTGGTCAATAGAGGTGCCAAACCTATGTTCTATCGTACCGGCAAACATGGCGGCTCTGCGCGGGCTGGGGAAAAATTGCTCAACTGTATTCTCTTGTCGTTTGGTCCAACTGATGCTTAAAACAGAACCTCAAAAAGAAAAAACAAAAGCAATCGAAAACGTAAGAAATTTCTGCCGTCACTGGCCGGCATAACATCAGTAACACGGACATCTTTTCATTCAACATTTACATAGAAACCCCGTCCGCCTTGCGAGTTTTGTTATTGGTCTCCTCAGCTGCACGCACACACTGAATTGTGGGCTTGGTCGTGTTGAGAGCCAATCAGATTCGAGTGTTTTGTTGTAGTGTTTGCCCACTCGGTTTTCGTGTAAGCGATAGAAATCGTTCTCTTTTCTAAATGGAATCTAAGCGGAAAGATTCAACAATGTGCAGTAATCCTTTGTTTTGTCTTCAATATTTTGTTGATCACCCACGTGTTATTGTGTCGACACGAGTAGAGACTGCGAAACACATATCAAAATACGTCATTTCGCTTCAGCTTTCCAGTACCAAAATTCCCAGTGTAAAAACGTTCTTAAAAAGAAATGCGAATACCGGTATTCTTCATTGGTTGACTTAAAACCCGCCCGTTTGCCAAGAAATTTTTGCTGCTTTGTTGTGGTAATTGATGGTCCAAATTGTGAGCACAGCAAAAAGCGCCGCTGGAAAATTGTCACGATTTGCACAACGGTGGTTTCTTGCTTTGTAAATTAACAAAATGAACTTCAAAGATATCTATATTTTATTTGCCAATGTTTTCGCAACGTTTATTTGAACTCACTCTGTTACCCTTTTTCCAATACTGCATACTGTATACGCTAAATTTTCCGGAACATCTAATAAATTGTCTTTAATTGCTCATTTACACCCAGTTGAAACTTCACTTGTTGTTCGTCATTCTTGAAAGCGAAAATAACGCAATACAATCGTGTTTGCTTCTTCTAATGTATTAAGATTGCCCAAACTGTCCCAAGTGTAAATTCGCTGGTGAAATGTTTCTGTTTTCGTGGTGGCAGTTGATGTTTTTGCTTTTAAGCGAAACAATACCACGAAGCAAATTCTCAGTACTTATCTTTCTTTTTGGTGATCTTAAAAACGGAAAGACGTCAACAAAAGAGAACTGCTTTCCTGACAGCTGAAAAAGCTGTTTGTTCTACAAAATATAAAAATACAAAATGGTTATAATTTTATTTCTTAAGCAAAAGAACTTTCGAAAACGAAACATCAGAGAGAACTTGAATTCGTCGCTGGAGCTTTCTTGTTTTGTACACTTGGACACATTGACGGAGTTTTTCCTGTCCCAACTTTTAGGAAGGACTTTTTCGTAGAGTTAAATCGGCTTAATCGTCTCAGAATTCAAGGAGTGTAACTCTTCTCTCCTGTTCGCTCTCGAATCAAACTCGTCAACAACATCGTTTTTGCAGGTGAACGATGACAAACCACAGCGTTTTTATTTCGCAAGACGGCGAGGAGAAATTCACCCCTGCGGCCATCGTTCAGTTTGTATTGCTGGCGATAATTTTTGTTATTGCGGTCACTGGAAATGGTTTAGTTTGCTTCGTGGTGTACCATTTTAAACAGCTGCGCACTATACCAAACATTCTCATCGTCAACCTCTCGCTGATCGACTTGATCAATTCTCTTGTTAACATGCCTCTTTTCGCCGGTTTTTACGTTTTTAAGTGGGACGTTTTTAAGGGCAAGTGGATCAGCTATTTGTTGACTTCGCTGCATAACTACATTCTGTATTTAAACGTTTTAACCCTGATCGTACTTATGGCGGATCGATATGGTGCTATTAAGTTCAAGCAGCGTTACCACGCATGGAAAACCACGAGTAAAGTTCGTCGTGCGATTGCCGCCATCTGGATCACAAGCACCGCGCTGATGGCTTACTTAGGTTTTCGCCGCCATCGAATTCTGTCTCAGTACGAGGGCCTGTCGATCTTAGAATACCGTCAGATTCTATACAAAGCCGAGGGCTGGAAGGTTGCGATATGCGTTTTCGGCACCCCCCTGATTATCTTCGTTGTCTTAGGAACGCTTATCTGGCGCTCTGTTCGAGCAAGTAGGCGGAGAATCAAAGCGATTAGCGGAGGGGACAATTGCTCCCCGCAGGGAAGAAAAATGCTTCAACTCCTCCGCGAAAAAGAGCTTCAAACCACACGCAACATTACCATCATTGTGGTGGCGTATTTCGTTTGTTTTGCCCCTGCCATAGCTCACGGTGTGTGTGTGCGAAGGGACATTGACGTGCCGTGGTTGGAATATTTCGCCTTCTTCTTCACCTATTTCACAAGCGCCTGTAACCCGATTGTGTATTCGCTGCGAACGTGCCGGTTCCGGCAAGTCATTAGGGATCTTTTGAAACCGAAGCGGAAAAGGGATCCGGTTTTGCCAGTTGTGCGTACAACAGCAAAAACGTTTGACACGCCTCTCAAAGGACCTTAGTCAGCCTCCGCCATTTTCGTTGCCATCTAGATTATTGATATTGCATGGTGAAAGGAAATCTTATTGCTTTACTGTAAATTGTGTTCCTGATAGCTTAGTGGTTTCACAGTCTGATTTCCTTCGTTTGGACATGCTCCGAATAAAATATAATAGCCAAACTCTCGCATTTAAACAAAAACAAAGATGTGGCTGACTAGGGCCGTTTAAGTAACTGGAGCGAATTGCAGCCGGATTAGATGAAGTAATGAGTGTTCAGGCCTCGATGAGAACTTGCCTCTCTGTATGTTTAAGTTGCTTGTTCGAAAGTCGTTAGTGACAAACGCTTAGAGGTAATTTCCTTACACTTATCAGAACATAGCAAGATTCTCTTAACACCGAGATAATATGTATTTGAATGAAATATCATTAAAGAGATTATTCTCATGTAAAGATCATTCTTTTGAACTTTGTCTTTTTCGCGCGATATAAATACTAATGGTTGTTATAAAACAAACTTTTATAAAACCAATTAGAAATAGGGACTTTGGTAACTAACCAATTTTAGCTAGTGAATTATAGGTGAATAGTTGTAGCCATATTTTTGTTTTCTATTTCAAATGAATTCCATCCACCGTGGTAGAAGTATCACTGGAAACCAAACATGTGACAACTGTCAACTAACAACTATCTTACCCACATATATATTTTTTATCCTAACCATTTTATTACGTGCAATGGTCACCAGTCAAACAGAGACCGAGAAACAAGTGCAAAGGATGCTGACCAGCGAGGTCTAGTTATTCTGCCTTATGCCGAAGGGTTTTCGGAAACAGTCGCAAAAGTTCTTTAAGGCTTTAACATCAGTCTCGCACAAACCCATTCGCACCATCTCTAACATTTTTAAGAAACCAATAGACCAAATCAGCGAAGAGTCTTCCAAAGGAATTGCGTATAAGATCAAATGTAAAGATTGCCCAAGTGTTTACATTGGCCAGATCTCACGTGCACTATTGAAAAAAAGCACAAGCGATCGTAACAATGGATAAAAATTCCTTATTGGCTAAGTACCGCCTGCTTTACCAACAGGAAATCTCTCATGAGATCTCGAATGTGTTGAAGTAATCGACCGATCGTCAAATTGGAAACAAAGACTCTTCCTCTAAGCGTGGCTTTCTATCCAAGATAAAAACTCAATTAATGAACACATTTCATTCCCAAAACTTTTTTACCAGAGGAAAAATTCCAAAGTATTACGCAATTATTACGCTATTGGTTTACTCTAGTTTTGAATTACAGCCCCCTTTTCTATAGAACCTTCATTAACACGTTATTTGGATATTTTTTTCTTTTTTTATTGATATAACATCAGGGACGCCGTAACTTACTTAACTTTCTTAGCTGATGAAGGTTGCAGCAGCAACCGCAACGTCCTTTTATATTTTTTTTAAGCCAGTAACAACATATTTTTATCAGGTACTTTTTTTTTTAATTTTACATATTTTTTTGTCATAGTTAAGATAATAGGTCTTTGCTGTTTTTGTTGTTGTTGATGATGTCTAGCATCTTTCGTTTCTTAATTAATATTTATTTTTACACGGAAAATGAGCTGTTTTTGATAGCAAGAACTGTAAAAAGTTCATACTTTCGTTGTCGACGTGTGCTTTAACTTCGCCATCTCGACTCGACACGCCTAACTTTTTCCTGGAATTAGTTCCGTACCAGTACACATTTTTTTTCTTTATAAGAAAATATTTCATGAGAATATTGAGCCTGAATTTTGTGAAATTTTAAGAATATTTTAAGAATTAACCCGAGGCTAAGATTTTGAAAATAATACAACTTCGTGTGTTGAAAATGTGGAGATACAACTCAATTTTATCCTTTCAAGTATTTAAACGGTATTAAATTCTTCCTTTCTCGAAAAGGCAAAACTAGTAAGAAAAAACTGCAGGAATTTGTACGCTATAATTTAAGAATATTCACAAGAATCCTAGTAGGCCGTTCATATTAGCGACATAACGACACAATCGTTTATCGTCGTCATAGACATAAGGAAAAGATAACTTTTTTCCTTGCGTTGTCGTGTTCATGCTAATATGTTGCTACTATGCCATTATGTCAGGGTGTTCTCACTGCAAGCATAACGGCTTAACGTCCTTCTTATGTCGTCATGGCGGTATTGTGAACTAGGCCTTACCATTATTAAATGGATTGGTTATTAGCCTAACCCTTATTGTCGCGCCAAGAGCATTGTCACAGTGAATAAGATTTGACGAATTTTCCAGTGAAATGTGCTTTTGTTTGTTACTTTGTGTAGGTAAGCAAATTCACACCATGGTGGCACATCTTGACGCGGTGACGAGTTTAGCCGTGGATCCTAATGGCCTCTACCTCCTCTCAGGAAGTAAGATTCTTTAATTTTGGCAGGCCTTTTGGTCATTTCTGTCCGGCTTAGGCAGCGTCCACCCTGCGCTGGAGAAATTTGAAAACGCAGCTTTATTTCTACGGTTAGGCCTACCGTCCACACGAATCCGTTACGAAAACGGAGTTTTTCTCGAAAACGCTCTTCAAACGGAAGAAATTTGAAAACGCCGGCTTTTCGTTTTCGTGTGGACGGGAAACGCTGTGGAAACGGAGGTTTTCCAAAACGATGGCGTCACGATAGTTATGTGATTTCCCTGGCCCAGTTTTCCTCAAACACAAGTCCAAAATGAGCGGAAATGGTTCGTTTTAAACTTCCGCCGGTTTATTATGGACGGAAAACATTTGATGCGTGTTCAGAGTGAAACCTCCGTTTTCAAATTTCCCCGACGCAGTGTGGACGGGCCGTTAGTTCTCCCTTGCACCCACTCGGGGGTTGGGCAGCACCGAGGGGCGACGTGCGCCGCTTTAAAGGTTCTTTACAATTGGCCAAACGAAACAGTAGATAAAGAACACAGTGTCCCTATGCCTAAGTCACTCGGACAGTTTTTTCGTGGCTTTCCTGTAGGTAGGCATTTGTCTGGCGTGATTTGTATCGCTTTTATTTTTGTTTCTCTAAGGTCACGACTGCTCTATTCGCCTTTGGAACCTGGACAGCAAAACCTGTGTCCAAGAAATCACCTCACATCGAAAGAAATTTGATGAAGCGATATACGACGTAGCTTTTCACCCAAATCGACCATACATTGCTAGTGCGGGCGCGGATGGATTAGCGAAGGTGTTCGTCTGACGTGTGACGTTGTCAAGGCAACTGGAACAGGAACTTGGCTAGCGTAAAATCGACATCATGAGGGTCTAATCCAATAGCAGTGCTGCTTGGTGTAATTCAAATGGTTTCTTTGAACAATGTTAGTACCCAGACCCAGAGGATCCGGTGAAGGTAACGGCAGTCTCAGTTACCAATGCTGTAACGCCATGCAAACGGCTAAAATTTCGATTTCAAATCCCTTGGAGTAAACTGTAGAATTTGAAAAACAGAAAAAAACCAGCCAACCGTCCTCTGGTATAACGAGCTCATTGGAACTGTCTTGGGTTATAAACGCACTTCTAGCGGCTCTCCTGCGACTGCCATTCACTTCGCGACGTAGAGCACCTTGGACAAGTATTCAATAACCCAGGTGTATGATGTGCAACACAGTCTATAACTATGCGTGATGTGGCATATTTCGTATACGCATTGTTTGCTGTCTAAGTACTTCTTTTCTATATGGGGTTACCAGACAACAGTTTGACTCGGTCTTCCGTTTGGAGTTGCTCTTAGTTTTTCGCCATTTTATAAATTGTTCTCAGTCTTCTGTGGATATCACGTCGGAAATTTCACCCAGGGTTTCTTTTTCGGACCAGGAATGTAATGGGCATGGGTACTTCATACTTGCGATGTAGCGGAATGTAACGAAGTATCGACCGTGTATCCATATATGGCCGAATACTCACGACCATTCCAAGAAAGACGATAACAGTTACACTCGCACGATCGCTAACTAGTTTTATTGGATGCTTGTGTGAAAGTATGGGTAAGTTTTTTCGATTCCTGCGCTTCGGAGCGGAAACAACTGACTGTATTTGATATTATTTTGACACAAGAAAGATAAGAGAGTTAGGTCCCCATTTAGGCAAGTTTTCCAGGCAATCATTCTGAAGTGTTTTTTTTTTTTTTTTTNGCGTAAACTATTGTTGTGAAATGCTCTTGGGAGGTCTGCATATTCCCAAAAGCATTTCACAACAATAGTTTATGCAAAATTTGGGGGCAGACAGTGAATTATGCGCAATTGGAAAATAGAGGGTGGAGGATGAAAATGCGGGTAAAGCCTCTTGGGCTGTCTACGTGGCAATCTCGCGTCTCGTGATTGGTTATAACTAAACCCTTCTGGGATTTCCGAAACCGCGAGTGATCTAAGAATAACTTGAGATGAATTACCTTGGGAATAAGGCTTGCATGGGGGATTCACTCTCTTACTCTTCATTCTCTCATGTTTGTCATTGACTGTATAGGAGAATCTTTGTTTACAATATTTGCCTCATTAGCATAAGCGATACAGTTTCTGATGGAGCTACAAAGAGATTAATACTGAATATTGAAAGGGCACAGCACGATGAACTGTCCCAAGGAATTTGAGCGCGATGTATTGAATACGTTTTTGCGACGAGGGTTTAAAAGCTCCAAATTTTACAAAGAATGTATGAGCTCATTAGTGCTTTTGCCACACAGAAATTTTGATGTTTTTCAAAGCCAATTTCTCCTCGATTACACCCAAAGAGCCAAAAATTTCACCACCTACTAAGTTTCACAAGTTCTTGAAGTTTTTCTAGTAAAATCGTGTCTAGCATGATGCCTTCTATGCGCAAAGTCTTATGTTAATGAGGAAAAATGTAAAGAATGACGTCAGCAAAGATTCGCCCATATTGATATGACAACTTAGACACAGAGTGCCCGATTTTGAGTTCAAGTTACTTAGCTCGCCTAAAAATCAACTTAAACGAGCATCGGGATCGAAGACGAATCGTAATCAGAATTGATCAATGTTACTGTGTTAAACCAGTATAAAAACCTCTCTGGGCTTCTGGGACTTACAAAAGTAAAACGGCCATCAGTGGAGACCATTTCTCTCTATTTTATTTTAAATCATTGCTGTCTCACGTAATGGTTTTGAATTCCAACCCTTTGGTCATTCTGTCACCTTGTAACGCGACATTTTGCCGTGTTACCTTCGGTCACGCCAGCTTTTGCGAAGCGAGCTATCATCTGTTCGAAGACCATTCACAAGCAGACCAGTCGAAGTACTCTCTGTTTATAAGTGACCAAACAGTTGTTAAAAGTAATATCATTTTAATCCACATATTAAACATCCTCATTTATGGCAATTCGATGTCATCTCGTCACGAAAGGTAGAAAAAGCAGGCTCAAAATTACCAAGATATATTTTTTCCTTTGCTGGTATTTTGCCCGGGGATTCGATGTTCCCTGCCCTTTGGAGCCAAAGAAAAGCAAAGAAACAGGATTTAATTCTAGCAAACATTTCATACTTTTTTGTTATTTTTGAAAATGGTGGAAAGGTAACCTATTACCTGCGGAAGCCGTCAAAATGTAGGCGATGTCAGTAAAAACTTATACCATTGGCTAATTTTGGAAGTATTTAATTTGATTGGCAGCTTATGTTCATACTTTTCGTTCGAGTACTTTATGTAATGATATCGAGCTGTCGACTTAGCTCTCCTTACAGTAAGGCTGTGTATGTATGCGCTCAAGAATATTTTTGGGCAACAATTGTACAGTAATTTTTGATTTCAATCATTGCTTGTATAGGCTAATCTAAGGTTAACGAGAGAGATGTTCTGATTCCTAGGGACAAGTAAATAAAATTTGAACTTCTTTAAAAATGTTGGTCAAAATCGAAGATTTTGTGCACAATATTTTGAAGTATCCCTTTCCCAAGTGACAAAAATGTGTTGATCAACACTTTTCCCGACATGATTTGCGCTTTTTCGCAGTTGATGGAAGGAGGGGAGGGAGACAGTAGGAGGTTTATTGGCGACGCTTAAACCTTTGAGTCCCAAATTTTCGCCAAAAAATACCGTTTAACCGTTTAGTCAGGTTTTTTGGCTGCCATGATGCTAAATAAGCGTAAGTTTTACCTGTTTTTCATGTCATGCTAAGAAAAAAAAATTTTTTTCACCAAAAGGAGAGATTTTTCGAGGATTACTTACAAAATTGAGCAATAGTTCAATAGTTCATCGATCAAGTTCTATGTTACCAAAAATGAGCAATATTTCAATTCCGTACATGCGCATAAGCCAAAATTTGCACCTAGAAATGGACCTTGATCAATCATAAGCATAGTGGACCATTTTACAACTGTTTTTACACCAAAACTGATAAGGTGTTTCGATTTGCGACGTGGAAATGTCGATATCTAAACCTGGCCATTGTAAGGAAAGGCCTAGCCTAGTTCTACTATCTGCTTATCACGAATATCTGGCGACATTTAAATTGATGACGTCACAAGTGGTACAAAGAGCACGACCATTAATTACGCGTATATGCGTAATTGGGACTCAAAGGGTCAAGACAGGAAGGTCTCTGCCCAAACAGACACTGTTTTCTAAACTTGCTAAGAAAAACGTCGACTTTCACAGTTAGTGGCTCTCGTTATTATAGATCTTCTTGTCTTTGGATTTCTCTCTTAGCCTGCACGTTGAAGTTTGCGAAGCACCTTTACTACAAACAAGTCGAGCATTTATCAATGAACAGGACAGTGAAGATGTAACGTCGGAACTTGTCTTCATGGCAGTGCCAAGCGCGGCAAAAAAGTGCCCCAATTTTGTCAATTTGTGGTAATCGGTATTGACAAATTAATACTTTGCCGACACGGAACAGAAAACTGGGTGCTAGCCACAGGAGGGCTCCTGGTGCTAGTGTAGTACCCGAAGGCTCATGGTTAGTACGTTTGTAAAAAGAGACGGTTGAGAAACTTGTGACAATCTACGGTCAGTCTTGCCACTCGCAGCTTCGGATAAGGTTAATTTTTTTTTT